TCTAACTCGGCTCCTGGGCCACGTAGCGACACGCGGTAAGCGGTAATCGAAAGAACGTCCAAAATAAGGACGAAAACACTTCGGTCATTTTTTGGGTCAGGTCAAAGGTCAGGTCACCAGAGGTCACCAAAGGTAAAATGTTAACTATTTCAACATTTTGGAAACTGCCGACGGCTATCTCGGGAACCGGTAGAGCTGCAGCACCGCGGAAAAGCGCATTCGATAGCCCTGTTACAGACCTTTCTGAGTAATGTTCTCAGATTTGACCTCAGGTTAACGGTTTAGCCTCCAGAGGGCAAGAACTCCAAAAATAGCCGTTTTTACGAAAAGCGTTTTTTTTCGGCAATAACTTTTGACTCAAAAGAGCCATGACATTGCTTTTACCAGTGTCGTGTTCCTCTCGTCGAGACGCGTCGAATGAGTTATAATTTGACCTTGAAAGGTCAACTTAAAAATTTGACCTCAGGTCAAGGTCATGACCTGACCGGAAAAGGGCATTTTGCATATCAGTTCCCATCTTGTTCCCCATCTTCCCCTCTACGTATAAATCGTTTCATTGAGCTGCTCGATTAGACTTGATTACCGTACATGTGCTGCCGTCTAGGTATTGTAGATGTGCTGGAGGTATTGTAGAGGGCAGCAGCAGACGGCTATGAGCGCTGGTCAGCTGGTGACTGCATCGCGAATCCGTGATCCTAAACGGAACCAAGTAGTTTCTTACAAGCATTAGCGTCGCCAGGGGCGCGGGAACTGCTTTCAGACTGGGGGGGGGGGGGCTCACCATAATAGAGGTCAACCTAGGATAAGGATACCCCCAAATCTAATTTTCTCACCGGTTTTAGGCCACTTATTTTTCACCCCTTGGCTTTTTCAACAAAAAAGAACACATTTGCAAAAAAGTGTGGTATTCCGTCTCAAAGCTGTGGGGGCGCCGCCCCCACGGCTCCAGAGTTGGGGGGGCAAGCTGCCCCCACTGCCCCCCCGGCTCCCGCGCCTATGCGTCGCCACGGGGGATAAGCGGAGCAGCGTGCCCCCCCCCCCCCTCCCCAACCTCGGACTGGGCAGTGGGTGCACCCCCTGAGATCGATACAGATCCGATGAGATTTTGGAGTCGGGAAAAATGGGGGGGGGGGTACCTTTATATGCCTGTGAGGTCAGACTCGGTTGGAGCAGCCAAACCAGAGTCGGAGTCGCAGTCGCCAAAATCTTCAAGGCTCCGACTCCAGACTCGGAAATGTCAATGCTGTGATTCATTCCCTGTTCCTAGTTGGTTTTCATTACATTTTATAGCTGATTTTCATAAGTTTTGGAATTTGGAGTGCTTACACATACCTAATTTTCGTTCAAAGCGTGACACGAAATCTTCGGGGCCTTTCTCAACTCTCGTCAAATGTCTGCGTCGAATACCTACCGTTCAAGTGCCGCAAGGCTCATGGGCTTGCTTTTCACAAAGACTCCTAAGCAGCTCTACTGAGCTCTAAGAAGCTTTCAGAGGGCCCAAACCGGCCCCTGAGAGTCCAACTGGTGTTCATGTTCTATGAGGGCCCAATACAGGGATCTTTGAGGACCTTATACACAGTGGCGCAGGAACCGCGGGGGGGGGGGCTAGCTCGGCTGGGGGGGGGGGGCTCGTAATGTATTTGAGCCCCCCCCCCCCAGCTGGAGGAATCGAAATCGGAAATCTACCAACATAATTTCATAGATTCATACCATAGGTGCGGGAACCGGGGAAGGGGTTGTGGGTCACAAAGGAAGAAAGCATGTAAGTGAAAAATCCACCTCTTTCACTGGCTCGGCAACTCATTTGGCAGATTAAAACCTTTACTCCACGCTGCCAAAACGGTAGTTTCTTCACTCAGCTGAGACGGTATACCTCACTTTTTTGCATTTTTTTCTTGTTTTTGTTGTTGTTGTTTCAGTGAAAGAGGTGGATTTTTCACTTACATGCTTTCTTCCTTTGTGACCCACAACCCCTTATTTGGGGAGGACAAGCTGCCCAACGGTTCCTGATGAAAAGTTGTGGGGCACCGCCCCCACGGCCGCAGAGTTGTGGGGGCAAGCTTCCTCCACTGCCCCCTTCCCCGGTTCCCGCGCCTATGCACTATGAAATTATGTTGGTAGATTTCCGATTTCGATTCCTCCAGCTGGGGGGGGGGGGGGCTCAAATACCTACATTACGAGCCCCCCCCAGCCGAAAAGCCGGGGGGGCTCAGCCCCCGCTAGCCCCCCCCCCCGGTTCCCGCGCCACTGGACACCATTGCCGCATGCAGGGTCTGCTGTTCAAGCCCAAGTGTCCTCAATTTGATCCAAGTTTACCTAGAAAACGATCTAGACTAGTGTGTCCCGGTCATAGGTGTGCAATGTGCATGGTGTTCATAGGCATTAACAATTCATTCATTATCGGTCGATGGTCATATGGTATTTCATGACGCATGAGAATGTCGCTGTCTCATCAGCGGTTGGCGGTTGCTCACCACAAAACACAAAAAAAGAACGCACTGGCGGATCCAGTGGGGGCCACGGGGGCCATGCCCCCCCCAAAGGCCTAAAGTGGCCTGTTTGGCCCCCTCCAAAACGTCAGAAAAATTATATGAGACTGTAAAGTCATATTTAAACCCAGGTATATTAATGATAATAAATCGTTTAGCGGACTGACTCTGGGTGTAAAGAAGCTATTTTTCCCTGTAGTTCGACCTTTATTGACAGGTCTTCAAAGGGGCAATGCGATTCAAAAAAACAAACAATAATCATGCTATACTGCCATCCACGAAATTCTCAAAATGATCAATGCTAAAACACGTGACACAACTTACAGACAGTTCGTACTCCAGTAGGTCTACTTTTTCAAAACACTATCCCATATAGGGCTAAGCGAGAACTTTCCGACACCCTGATTCAGTGATGGGTTGCATAATCGAATCTCGATGGCCTCCCTTACGAGTTTACGACACGGCGGGACCATGTTGGCTCGACCGCCAGCGTGCTAGCCTGACCTGGGTCAAATGGTTGGCGACACTGGAGCCAGTGTTCAGCTAAAGGGGATGTGTCTGACCTCCCATGCTTTATGGCTGCTACGTGTTCTTTAAGTCGCATGCTTTTAGGACGCCCGGTCTCGCCAACATACGTGGCACCACAATCACAAGTAGTCTTGTAAAAGACACCTTTTTGCAAATCCTTTGGTGGTACGTCCTTGGCTTTAACTAGTTTGTCCCTGAGTGTTGGCTTCGAGCTATATCCTAACCGAATCTGGTGGGGCGCTAAAATCCTAGCAATTCTTTCGCTGGTTCCTTTGACGTAGGGGATGCTAATGTACGTAGTACGGGGTCGTTCGGTTGTCTGGTCGTCCGGTACGGCCGCATCTGTCCGGTCGGGTCGCCCAGCGGTCGGTTGGGCTCGGTTATCGCCATCGGTCAGCTCCTGTCTCTGCTGCTCCGTCGCAGCCCGCTGTTTGGGCTTCAGCGCTCGTCTCACGTAATGTCTCGGATAGCCATTTTCCTCGAAGACTTTTTCTAGACGTGAAATTTCCTCCTTCCGAGCGCCCTCCTCGCTGCATACTGCTTCAGCACGTTTGGCTAGACATTTGATGACACCCGTTTTTATGGAATCTGCATGGTGAGAACTGAAGTGGATATATAAATTGGTTGCTGAAGGTTTTCTGTAAACCGTTGTTTTCAGCGCGTTTCCCGCTCTCGCCACTTCTACGTCCAAAAAGGGAATTTTCCCATCTTCTTCGACCTCTCGTGTGAATTGTATGTCCGGGCATACGTTGTTCAGATGCCTATGGAACTCGTCTAACGCGTCCGTCCCATGTTGCCAGACCACAAAAGTGTCGTCCACGTAGCGCCGCCAGTATTTTGGCTTGAGATGAGCGGTTTCAAGAAGTGTTTTCTCGAAAGTCTCCATGAAGCCGTTTGCCAGTGCGACTGATAAACTAAGGCCCATAGGGGCTCCTTCAAGCTGACTATATAGCTGGCCGCCACACTGAAAATAGCTACGGTTTAGGCACTCCTTCATCAGTGTTCTGATAGAATCGACAGACATTCCACACCTGTCTGGGAGTGTCTCGTCATTGAGAAGCTTCTCACATACGGCGTCTATGGCTTCGTCTGTTGGGACCCTCGTGAATAATGATGTGACGTCAAAACTAACCATGATGTCGTCTGGTGACAGTGTCAGGCTTTTGACTTGCTCAACAAACTGCGCGGAATTTGAAACCGTATGCTCCGTTTGTCCCAGCACAGGTGAAATGATCCTGGTTAAAAATCCCGCTACCTGGTATAGGCAGGTGAATCGATCATACTTGTGATTGGCCGAAGTGGCACGCCAGGCTTATGAAGCTTTGGTAAACCGTACAGTTTTGGAGCCATTGAGTGACTGGTAGCAACTGCTGCGCTTCTTTAGCTGACAATTCACCCTTCACTGATAAAAAAAATGACACCCTTTTTGATCCGGCAGAAAACCACTCCCAAAAAAATCACGCCCTAAATGGGGTCAAAATGACTCCACGATAAACTCCTATCAAAACTCCAAAGAAGGAGTAAAAAATACTCTATAAAAAGAGTAAAAATGACCCTTAAAAAGAGTAAAAAATACTCCCTAGGAGAGGTGACTCCTTTTAGGGAATATTTTTTATCCTATTTAGGGGATATTTTTTACTCGTTTGAGAAAGTTTTAATAGGAGTTTACCGAGGAGTCATTTGACCCCATTTAGGGAGTGATTTTTTTGGGAGTGGTTTTCTGCCGGATCGTCAGAGGGTGTAAAAAATACTCCCTCAAAAGAGTAAAAAGTACTCCCTTAAAGGAGTAAGGTAATTTTTGTACACCCCATTTTCAAAAGGCAGAAAATCACCCATATATATATATATATATATATATATATATATATATATATATATATATATATATATATATATATATATATATATATATACATCCATATATACATTACACCCATCCAAAATATATGTCCATCAGCTGAGTTCAAAATGTAAAGAGTTCAATTGAATGCAAGTCAATTTATTTATAACCAATCGCGCCGACCGCAGAGCAGCTTCACATGTACATGCACAGACCTATAGCCCATTTGCAAGAGACGCACTCGATAGACGCGGACAGTCGCTCCGCGCTCTGTCTTGATTATGATTTGGCAACAGCCCTCAGTCTCGCACGCACTCTCACTGGGCTAGAAGACTACTATGACCTACATGACCTTGTGTTCAGTTTTTGGCCATTTTTAACAAATAGCACAAAACTATTTCACTTTCGTGTGAAAGCGCTAATGAAAAACAGAAAGGGAAAAGGCGCCTCTGTCATAGGAGAAGCGTATTTCTCGTGCCTTCACCAACTATGTATGTTAGCGTCTTCTATATCCAGCTGAAAGATCTCGTCGATTTCAAGGATGGCCGGCCGTCCCTCACACGGCTGCGTCACATCTTCCAAGGCCCCAACACTTCGAAGCCTCAGCCAAATACTGGCATAGCTCCAAATCTGAAAGGAGGGGAATATCACAGTCGTTTTAGAGTACACCATGCATCCTGTGTCGCCCGGGAGAAATAATCAAGTAAAGGCCTGGCTACACTATGCGTTTTCTGCGTGCGTTTTTTGCGGGTTTGCGTATTTTACGTAATATCGTTCTGGAAAAAACAACGATATTACGTTTTTGTGATGTTTTTTATATTAAATTTTAGTTAATGTAAGAGTTATAACTTTTGTATATAACTAATGTAAAAGTTATATTATTTATAACAAACGCAAACCCGCAAAAAACGCACGCAGAAAACGCATAGTAAAGCCAGGCCTTCAGCACTGAAGTGAACGTGACAACAAGGGGCAAGGATATAACCGAACAAAGGGAAATGACAAGAAAATGTCCTGAACACTCACATGGTAAACGCCGATAACCTGCAGCGCGACGTCAAATGGGAATTCTGGTTAGGGTTAACCTTGAAGATAAAATTAAGGTAGATCCGATTTCTTTGAATGAGAGGATTAGGAATACAGGTGGCCATCAAACTGCTTTAGAAAACACATGCCGACGATTAACTCTAGGAATTTTCACGCCAATATTTATTAAATAATAGCTATAATGAAATGACCCTAGTGTCGTCATAAATGACGTCACGCAAGGTCAACAATGCAAAAGTGAAGCATCGCAACTTGCAAGGAGTGCATGGAACCACGATTCTGTGTGGTTGAGCTAGTTTGAGATCGTTCCCGGCGCCAAAATAGCAGTTTTCATTTTTCCCCATTGACTTGTAATGGTGAGGTCCGTGACCGACCTGACCTCATGTGAACTTTAGGAAAAATCCGAGATATACAAGTTGTGAGACCTCTGATGGATATTAGGTCCTAAAAGCTACATCTCCCTGTGAAAGCTCCTCTGGCACTGAAGGCGTTGCGAAGTTGCGACATCTGAAGACCGTGCAGAGGTTCACGTATGACGTCATAGGTCAGTGACCTGACCTGACCTGAAGATGCGGTTGGTGTCAAAAGATTCGGCTTGAATCAAAGGTCAGGTATGCCAAGTTTCAGCTCTTATCACCAGCGTGTTTGGAGCTATCGCAAAATAAAACCCTATGGGGGAGGGGGGGGGGCAACACCCCCCTCCCCTCGACCGAGGTTTATTAGTTTTTAATTTGGGATAGCCAAATTATGATCCCTGGCTCACAATCACCGGTTTCGGCGCTCGCAACATCGAGAAACGCCTTAAATCAAGAATATTTAATTTCAAAGTTGCAGTACTTTGGATTAAGAGGAGCTAATGCATTTGAATACCCCCTCTGAATGTGTGACGTCAGCGCAGATCTGGTGATTTCAAAATATCATATAAACTTCTTTGTAAAGCAGTGGTGGTATATGCTGCTGCGCGCGCAACAACTGCCGCACTTCGAAGATACCAAATCATTGCGTCCAAATGACGTCGTAGGAACAGTGTACCTCCGAATAATAAAGAAAAGTAATTGTCTAATATCTTAAAACCCGGTGAATATTTTTCAATTAAATTTGGTAGATATTCATTTTGCTCACTCTGAACCATGGGACATAGGGATGCGGAGCCGTGGAAATTTGAGACGGCTTCGGCTTCGGAGAAAACAATCGGCTCCGACTCCGGGTGAAATGTCATGGCGGTTCCGGTTTAGAGTAAAATGGGCCGGCTCCGCCGCTCCGACTCAGTACATCCCTTATGCGAAACAATGGCCGTCACCTGATGACCGGTCCTCAGGTTCTGGGCATGCAGTAGACGTGGGGATGGAGGAGCAGACAGGACTGGGAGGTTGATTGCGTACTGTGGAACACTGGGGATACGTATTCAGTTTTTTTTTTCACGTGATGGCCCGTGACGTACCACATGTTTTACTGCCTTGTACTGCCAAACCGAACTAGGTCAATTATTTTTTTCCTCTTAAAAAAAAGAGCCGGAGTTGCCCCTTCTTTGACGGCTCCGGCTTCGGACTATATTGTTTCAAGGCTCCGGCTCCGGACAAATTGTGCCCGCTCCGGCAGCTCCAGCTCCACACCCCCTGATGGGACATCATTTTTATGCCAACTCATTAACAGTTTTGAAGGTTGAAAGTTCAATTTAAAAGCAGTTTTCTCAAATAAAAATTGTTGATTTGACTTCCTATTCTGAAGCAACTATATCTTGACATTTACCAAATTTTACTGCGAATGGTGGTCACCAGATATTTCAGCACGCTGGTCAATCTAGCAGCAGACTCGCCCTGCGAGCTGGTCTGAAGAGGGTCTGAACTTGCCACAGCATGACGCTAGTGTGACACGCGCATTGTGGTATTGGGTCTTCATGGGAACATCAACTGATTCAGATTCTCAAACAGGGGAGAGCGTCCGAGGCCCCAGAACATTCCTGGTTGATATAGCCTTCGTCGGTAGGTAGATGTGCACATGCTTTATTGTTATGTAGAAGTGGCTTACTTCGGCACAAGTAGGCACAGAGGCGGATCCAGCTCAGAGGTTTGGGGGGAGGGCAAACCATAAAAATTTATCGATTCTTTCCATGCATCGTCCATAGGCGTAATGTTAAAATCATGCCGTTTGGGGGGGGGGGCAAATGCCCATTTTGCCCCCCCCCTGGATCCACCACTAAGTAGGCACCCAACTTTCAGGGCAAATGATGCAGAAATTTCACCGCAAAATTGCTTGCATCGAATTTCGGCACATGAGGGTCTCACGGGCGTCCGGCGTAGTGTATGGATGTTTTCCAGTCTGGGCACTGGCACCAGCACTGAGAGGCGGCGTACCTAACAATCATTTGACAGGCGAATTGAATGATCTTGATCTAATGCGAAAAAAAAAAAACAGGACAAATAGCATGACAAGTGAAATACGTACCTTTCTTCAGCGGTTCAATCTTATAGATCTCATTCTTCGATCAACCCGCCACAACAAACACGTGTCGCGACACAATCCATCACAACAAATTGGAAACTAGCGTCACGCAGCGCCGCCTGATATAACAAATGTTTTTAAAATAAATTATCGCTTTTGCCATATATCTCACTTAAAATAATAAAATATTTTTTGAAATAAATATAAATGAAAAGTTCATTTAAAATTTTAATGTAAATTCAAATAGGTAGAGCTAAAAATTAGCCAATAATATCGGGGGGAATTGGCCAGCAAATAGTTCAGCGCTTGTCACATGCAACCATCATGTGGCCAATACAACTGAGACGACAGATGCTGGTAAAAAAAGCAAGCGAAAACAGGGACGTACTAAAGGGGGGGTGGACCGGAGCCCCCACAGTGTTTTCGGGGCCCGGGATGGAGTCGGGGCCCCGCGGGCCGGGGGCCCCACGTTGGCCGGAGTCGCGTCAGAGTCTAGGGAAATTCGCGGGAGTCCCTGGGGTCACGTTGGGACGGTCGGGGTCCTCCATAGCAGCTTCCCCCCCCCCCCAACTCTGGGGCCGTGCAGGGGCGGTGCGCCCACAACTTTGAGACGAACTACTGCACTTTTTTTGCAAATGTTTCCTTTTTTGTTGACAAAGCCAAGGGACGAAAAATCAGTGGCCTTAAACCGGTGAGAAAACTAGAGTTGGGGGTACCCCAGGCTGATCTTTATTATGGTGTGCCCCCCCCCCCCCCAGTCTGAAAGTAGTTCCCGCGCCCCTGCCCTGGGGCCCTCTGACCGGACTGACAGCTGCAGGGTCCTTCTTGCTGCCTGGGGCCGCCTGTGGATGGCCGCTGCAGTGTCTGTGTCTGACCGCGGCCCCTCTGACTCCTCAGTGGAGGGGGCCCTCTATTATAGGTGAGGGCCTTCTGTCATGGGTGGGGCCCTCTGTGGAGGGGACTCTTTGGAGGGGGTCCTCTGTGGAGGGGGCCCGGGATTCCTCTGCCCCCTCAGCTGAATCCTAGGTATACGTACTGGGGGGTCGTATCAACCCAACTCTCCGTGTTATGAGAAATGCCCCGCCCATGATGCGAAAGTTAATGGACTCTGTAAAGGGAGTTTTGTATGGTTTCAAAAATACACTTTTTCGGGGGTAAAATATACACCCCTTAAAACACCATCGTCTTCGCTTGACACGCTATAAAATACCCTTAAAAGTATATTGTACTCTGTAAAGAGAATTTTATAGGGTATCAAAAAAACACCCTTTTAAAAGGTTTAATATATACACCCCTTAAAACACCCTCATCCGCTTGACACCCTATAAAAAACTCCTAGAAAATATAACGGACTCTGTGAAGGGGGTTTTTAAAGGGTGTCAAAAATACACCCTTTAATGGATAAGGTGTTGACACCCTCCATGACTCCCCTATTTCTCCTTGACACTCTAAAAATACACCTTGAAAAGAGTCGTCATTGGAACAAAACTCACTTTCAAGAGTCATGTGACCCGTAAAAGGGTCTTTTAGAGAGTATATACACCCTTAAAAACTCCCTTTATTTTTTATAGGGAGTTTTTATTTTTCTCAGTGTTGGCTTTGATGGAAAGCACCTCAAGAAAAGTCGCAAAAGCAAGGCGATAACAACAAAAGCAGAAATGGCTCTGGTACGAGAACAAATATCGACCCTGAAAGCTAGAAGAGTGCAAGTGTTAGAATCCATATCAAACTTGGAATCAGCACTGAGGAATACTCTGGTACCTCAGGATTATGATGTAGTCGAGCAAGTCACAAATTTGGCCCAGCAGCGGGAGTTTCTGAAGAAGAAGGACAACCAAAGATTGAAGTTTGACAGACTTATGGCGGAAAAAGGCTCAAAACAACACAATAACACAGTCGCCAAGAGTTCCGTCGCCAACATCAGTGGAAAAGAGTTAAATGAGGCGGAAATGTCTGTTTTGGAGAAAGGTTTGGGTTTTGCTCCTGCACCTAGCTTGGTTCCTACTAAAGAGATCATATGCGCTGTAGAAGCGGGCATAAAGAAGATAAAAGATCCAATCGAAGCAAATGTTGCAAGGGCGAAGATTGCTTCTATTCTTCGACAATCTGAGCCGCCGAAAGATAACATCACGAGGGAAGAGAGATCTGGTCTCAGAAGCTTACAGGCAAGAACGGATATTAAGATACTCCCAGCTGACAAAGGGAACACGGTGGTGGAATTTGTCTGCCGATCAGTACGCTGAGAAACTAGATGAACTGCTAGCGGACCGCGCGTACCGCAAAATTAACAGAGATCCAACCAAAACGAAAGAAAGAAAAATGAGAGATCTGATAAGTCAGATCAAAGCCAAGGGTGAATTGTCAGCTAAAGAAGCGCAGCAGTTGCTACCAGCTCACTCAATGGCTCCAAAACTGTACGGTTTACCAAAGCTTCATAAGCCTGGCGTGCCACTTCGGCCAATCACAAGTATGATCGATTCACCTGCCTACCAGGTAGCGGGATTTTTAACCAGGATCATTTCACCTGTGCGGGGGAGAGCGGGGCCAGTTGAAACACGGGGTCAGATGAAACATGGCTTTATTTTCAACAGTATGCAACATATGGCGTTGCCGACACCACTGCGCATCCGCGCTCGACCACTTCCTTTGTCAACGGCGTTTGGGCGGCAAACGGACGGTAATTTTGATTTGACACTTGTTTTTGTGTTTTTGAGGGGCGTTTGGGAGAAATCGTTCTTATGAATATTTTGTGATATGTCATATACCTTTGTTTGCTGAAAGAAGAACTCCTGGCTCCGGAATAACACCTTATTTGGCCCTTCATTCAGCATGATGCTGTCCCTCCAGCTCGTTTGACATGTGCTTTACGGCGCGTGCGAGATGGCGGGAGCGGATGGGGTCAATTGAAACGCTTCTCTGAGGGTCAGTTGAAACAGGGCCACAGGCCGTTTCAATGGACCCCGGTGACCTTTGCAATGGTTATTGTTCAGGGGCTGTAAATATTAAAGGAAATAGTCCACCTTTGAAATGAGCTTTTAAACTGAAATAGTAGTTTAATAGAGCTCAATTTTTGACCCCTTTTTCTCCAGCCTTTTGCTTGAAAGCACACTATAGCCTGAGATATTTCTCATTTTTCTCATCCGCCCATTTTACCATAGTCTATGTACTTTATGTCACCTATTATGAGGAACTTTGCACTTTTAGCTTTCCAACGACCTATTGAATGTAGCATTTGGAAAAGTAAACCGGACAAAATATCTCCTTAAGAAAGTGGCCTTAAGGAGGAAAACGTCCCATTGTTAAGGATAGGTGCAATTGACCCCATGGGCTGGTTCAATTGACCCTCGCATCGGGGTCATTTGAAACGGGCGTAGAGCTGTTTTATAAGCATGCGTTTAGCAGCTAAATATGTTTGAAACATAATTTTACATGTCTTAAAATAAAGCCAAAAGAGCATATTTTTTCATGGCATTGTGCATTTTTCGATATGACAACTAGATCTCGCTGTGCATGTCAATATATAAAAAGTGGTTCAACTGGCCCCGCTCTCCCCTACCTTGATGGAGGTTTTTAGCCACTTGGTGAAGTAAAGCTTTCCACAGCATAATATGGAAGCAATATTGTAGCAGTGAGGGTCAGTCAAAAGTTGCGCGCAAGTTGCGCGAGCGGAGTCGACCTTCAAAAAAAGACTGTTGTTGGCACGTGTTTATGGCGCGTCAGCTGGTAGTTGGCGGCAGGGGTGGAGCTTCCTATTCACTTGGTGGGGCGCCTGCCCCACCAACTTGCCATTTTGCCCCACCAAAAAGCGTTTTGCCCCACCAACTTAAGCCGATTTGCAGGACTTTACTGATTAGCAAACCTATGTTTTTCGCATTGAGGAGCTTTGAAATGTCTGTGTAATGCAAAATATTATCTCTGTAATGAAAAGAATTGATTCATTGTTGAATTTTATCTAACTTAACAATCGGACATTGTAGGTTTGACAACTTTTTGCCCCACCAACTTTCCTGGAAAAGCTCCATCCATGGTTGGCGGTGTTTCACGTGGTGTGGCATCACTGGCGGATCCGGGGGGGGGGGGCACGGGAGCCTGAGGTGCCCCTGACAGGCCCGTGCACTATGGTTGGAAACGGCCTCACGGATGGCCGTGGGCAATTTCGGAATATATGTATATTTGGGGTGTCATTCTGTTGGAAATTGATGAAATGTTTTGAATTGGGCAGAAAAAAATTATTTAGTTGCGCATTTAGTCTCCATTATTGTACGTGGAATCGGGAGTTTCTGACAGTGACTTTTTTGGTGCGCCGTCAAAGGTTTAAACAACCGCGCTGGTGATAGTATGTGGAGTACCTCCATGACGTTGTAAAACTGGATTATTATATATCAAAATAATCCTTGTTATGTTGGCTATCGAGTGGAGTGACTCTTTTTCCCATGCGTGTTCAAAATCAGGAACGGCATTGCATTCTGTTTGCAGTGTCACCACAGCAATATTTGCAAAATTGCGTTTATGTTTCATTGGACATACAAAAAGTTCTCCATCGACCTCCATTGAGCTTTTAGGCAGAATAAATCTCTGTTCAATTCTGCGTAAGGGGAACGCAAAAGCAGACTGCGCACTTGTGCGCAAAATCGTCCGTGAAGCTTCATCTCCCGAGGCGTACCTACACGGAGAAAAATAATTACTCCCCCCGGGAATCACGATCCCCTATTTGGGAATCAACTGACACCCATGGTGTAATCCGATTCTGAAAAACAGTGTCCATACACCGTTTTTTAGTGTAAATTGATCTCGGTCAGAATCACATACCCAAGGGTCATTTGACTCCCAAAATTTTGACTCCCATTTTAGGTGTCGTGTCAAAAGATCCACACGGTGTCAGTGTAAAATGACACATATAAGCGTTTTTGACGCTATAATGAGGAGTTTTTATATCCTATAGGTGTCATTTCACACAGTTGAGTGTTTTCGCAATCCGTGACTCCCTTATTAGGTGTAATTTGATCCTCAGTGGTGTCATAATATTCCCTTCAAATGACTTATTGAGTGTAATTTGACCCTCGGTAGTGTCATAATATTCCGGTGT